GAATAGCATTAGGAGAAATACCTAAAGTAGCTGACGGGTTGATGGGTGCAGCAAACCACCATGGCATGTGTGTAACAAACCTGCGTGTTCTGCACATGTATCCCAGAACTTAAAGTATAATGAAAAGAAAAGAAAAAAGAAACAACTCTGATCCAGATATTCCCTCTAACTTTCTGAGAATACGTTATGATTAAGCTTGCAAGATTCAGTTCTTTTGAAAGAGAATGAGCAAATGATTTATAGCTTCTCCTAGGAGGGAGTCAGTTTTCTTCTCTTTTAATCAGGTAACAAATGACAGTTAAAAGATAGGACTTTCCCAAGAGTTTTGGTGGCTACTATGGCAATGCTCTTATTGTGTATTACTGTTAGTATTCATTTAGTGCTTGCAATACCAAAAATTTTATCTCAGATAGAAAGGATATGCTATGTTTAGAGAGGAGGGATGTGGCAGCATCCAGAGAAGTAAATTCCTAATTAAGGACAAATTTCTAATTAAAACCTGACTTTAGCCTGGGTTTTCTGAATCCCCGAACTAGGGACATTTTGAGTCAGATAAGTCTTTGTCATGGGTAGCTGTCCTGTGGACTGCAAGATGTTCAGCAGCATCCCTGGCCTCTACCCACTGGATGCCAGTAGCAGCCTGTACAGGTGTGACAGCAAAGAATTCTCTAGACATTACAAAATGTCTCTGGGAGGCACAATCATTTCCCAGTTGAGAACCACTGCTTTAGCCCATCGATAGTCCTTTATAAAGGGTAAAACTTTTACCATTTTTTGGTTCTCTCACATTTCATTTATGAAGATTTTCTCTGTCAAATTCCTTGTACTGTAATTTATGGCCACATTGTATGACGTTGGTAATAGCCCTACGAGGTCTGATGATTGAACCAGCGGATCCTTGAGCAAAGCCACATGACAGTCAGAAGGAAGAAGCATCTTGAGTTCTGAAATAAAATGTAGAGGTGAAGCATAACTCTGGGAGCATATGATAAATTAAGTATCAGGGTGAAAATTTTTTAATGCGTTGTTGTTGCAGATAGGAGTGCTTGCAAATCTGTGTGTTCCATCCTCTGTCCCAGGACTCAGTATCTGCATTCTTTAAGAAGATAACCTGGACTGTAAAGAAGCTGATTCCCCTCAGGAACCTTGTGGGAGCCTCTTCTGAAAGAGGATCAAAGAAATGGAAACTAGGTGTTTACCTCCCGGCAGGAGAGGAGGAGGAACAGCAAAATGCACTAGAGTGGAATTGTTTTAGCCATGATATAGTCAGTAGCCACGGAGTAGTGCAGAGTCACAGTGTCAGTTAGGGTAGACTAAGTACAGCTATGGTAACAAAATGCCATTAAATCTCAGTGGCTTAAAACACAAAGGGAGATTTCTCATAGCACATATCCATCACAGATTGGTAGACTTTTACTCTTTGTAGAATTTCATTCTCTTTTCTTAAAATGGTGGCCTTTTTTCTTTTTATTGATACATAATACTTTTCCATATTGATGATGTACATGTGATATTTTGATACATACATACAATGTAATGTATTTGTAATGAACAAATCAGGGTTATTAAGATATCCATGACCTCAAACATTTATTCTTCACCTAAACATTTTATTTCATGGTCGAAGGTGTTTCCTCCTCCTGAGCTTCATGTGGCTTCCTCAAGGATCCCTTTTCCCAGAGACCCGGGCTGAAGGAACAGCCTGGATGCTTCCATCTCTGTGCCTGAGCAGGACAAAGTTCTGAAGGGCCTTTCACTTCCACACACAACTCACTGGACAAAAGTAGCCAGGAAAGGAGAGACACTAGAAATATCTGGTGAATGATGTTTAACTGTAGTGTATGGTGAAAGTTACACATGGCGCCTCTCATTATATCTGAGACAGCACAACTTAAATTTATAATGGTTTTTCCAATAACCTTTTACTTTTGGGAACCTTCCACCCCAATCCACCCTCATCTCACCTCTGCCCTGGATTCCAGGCCATAGTGAATAGGTCCAGTGATGTGCATGTGACTTAAGCTGGGCAAATCACAATCTTCTTTTTCAGCCCTTCTCATGGCATAATTCATTGGTTCAAAATTGAACACCTGACCTAAGTGGGCCAATCTGAATACTTCCCTCAGAATTTTATTATAATGGTGCAATTTTCTGTTTTAAAAAATTGATATGTAATAATTGTGCATATTTGTGAGGTATGTATATTTTGACACATACAGACTCTGTAATTATCAAATCAGAGTTACTAAGATATACGTGACTGGAAACTTCTATCATTCCTTTGTGTTGGAAACATTTTAAATCTTCTCTCTAGCTATTTTGAAATACATAATAAATAAAAAGTATATTGATAACTGTAGTCACCTTACTCTGCTATCAAACATTAGAACTTACATCTTCTATCTAACTGTATGTCTGTACTCATTAGCCTCTCTTCATCCCTCCCATTCCCCGCCCATATACTTCCCAGTATCTGGTAATCATCATTCTACTCTCTACCTCGATGAAATAACTTTTAAGTCCTGCATATGAGTGAGAACATGTGATAGTCTTTCTGTGCCTGGCTTATTTCACTTAACGTTATAACCTATAACTCCCTTAGAATATTAGAACTGAAAATGAGGAAGAGAAACCAGGACCAAATACTAAAGTAATAATGTATAATCTTCCAGTGATTTTAGCCATGATTTCTTCTATGTGAGCCGGAGAAACTTAATTGTAGGTAGAGACAGAGAGAGAAGACATATGGAAACAGATACCCAAGGAGGATCTGATATGAAAGGAATCTTGTGGCTTTTGATTTCTGTTAGTTGCTCTAAAGTTCCCTCCTAGTTCTTGGTTTCTGTGAAATGACTGAGAATCCTTTCTATAATTCACCTTTTGGCTAACGCTTAATCTAAATGGATTATTCTTCCAATACTTGCAATGAACAGAGAATCTATAATTTATTTCTAAAGAAATGTTTTTTATTTATGAATTTTAGAAGGTATATCATTATTTCTTCCTATAACAGATTAAAAAGTTTGTGCTCTTAAATTTTTCCTACTTCCTTCATTCACAAATTAACTTCTAAAATATTTACCATCATTCTTACATTGTTACTATCGTTAATATTTACCTTCTATTTCCTACTCTGTCTCAGGTACATTAGTTCTACATTTGAATGAATTTCATGCCCACTATCAATTACAGCTTCTTCCTTCCCGATGTTTTTATTTCATTCATTTCATTTTTTGACTGGCTTCATTATCAACTAATTTTTACATACATACTCATAAATTCCATCTTCATTTAGTTTTTGTTCATTAGTGAATCTCATTCTGCTATGTTTATGTATGTAAATGATGATCTGGCTGATATAAAATCTGGAGTTCGTATTTTTTTCCCTTGAAAGTCTATAGACACATTCTAGCACTGTCATCTGACATTGAACACTGCGATAAGATTTCTTAGGCAACTCTGGTTTTTCTCCCTCTAACGTTTAGGTGATTTGCTTTCCAATTTTTTTTGTTTGTTTGTTTTGTTTTTACATTGGCAACCTCTTTAATATCTAGAGACTAGATATTACAAAATCGGGACTCATTTGTCCAGTATATACACAATATATACAGTACAGCAAAGTTAAATGAAATGCATGTAACATACAGGCAATGGATTAAGCTGAAATTTGCTAATAAGCAACGGCAAAACACCTTTTGCAATTTCTTCCCTCCCACCTCCCAGGTGGTTCAACAACTCCACTTCCAAACAACATTTCCCATCAGTTTTTAAAAGCTATTTACAGAAAGTGTTATTCTACTACCACTTTTAAATACATCAAGCACTTCCTTCCAAATATCTAGAAAGACTTAGATATTTCATATAACTTGTCCACCACGTACACAGCACTGTTAAATAAAATTGCACACACATAACAATGGTTATCATCTAAGGTATCTTCTAAATGTGGCCATTTTGGCCTTGAATCATTCCCTCCTCCCTTCCTTCTCTGCCTTCAATCCAGTGGACAAGTACAGGAACATGTAATGCTTAGAGATGGCTGAACAAATTCCTATGCAAAAGTCATTTACAGAAGACAAGTCTTCCTATGAATTTCAACACAAAGCATACAAAATATGCTAATTTTACTACTTTGTCATACACTGGCAACATCTTTAACATCTAGAGACTAGATGTTGAAAAATTAGGACTATTTGTCCATTATATACACTATATACAGAGCAAAACAAAATGCACAAAACATACAGAAAAATGTTGTCTGAAAATGTCCAAGTATGAACACACTAGTATAAAATATAAAAGGTAAATTACCTTTTGCAATTTCTTCCCTCCCACCTCCTCTAAACCACTGAACAAGTATAGACATTACTATACTGCTTACAAAGGTAGCTTCGCAATTCAATTTCCAAAAGTATTTCCTATGAATGTTAGCAAAAAGATATTTACAAAGTGGTATTTTACTACCTCTACATTTAACATACAACGGGCACTTCTAAACATCTAGACAGACTAGATGTTTCAATTAAGGAGTTAATTTGTCCACTATGTACATAGCAGTCTTGAATAAACTGCAAACATGTAACAACAGTTATAATTTGAAAGAGTCTTCCAAATGTGAACATTCTGGCCTAGAACCCTTCCCATCTCCATCAACTCAGAAGACATTGAATTTTCAGAAGACAATCTTTCCTAGGACTTGTAAAACAAAATGTACAAAATATATTAGTTTAAACTCTACTTTTGTCACACTGGCAACATCTTTAACATCCAGAAAGACTAGATGTTGTCAATTAGGACTCGTCTGTCCTTTATGTACACTATATACACAGATAAGTAAAACAAAATGCAGAGATAATGATTCATCTTGCCTCGCTGTAAGCAGGATGGCATAGAGCTCTCTGCACCTCCCCCTCCTCTCTTTTCCTCTGAACCACTGCACAAACACAATGAGTATTACTCAACAGGTAATTTGGTCATTCCCCCCAAAAAATATGAATTGTAACAAAAAGATATTTACAAAATGTTATTTTGCTACCTCTAATTTTAACATATATCAGGCACTTCAGAACATCTAAAAAGAATAGACATTTCAAAAAATCTTAGCATTGTCAACTATATACACAATAGTGAGGAATAAAATGCACACAAAACAATGGATAGAATATGAAAATGTCTTCTAAATATGACCAGTCTAGCATAGAACCTTCTTCTCTTCCTTCTCACGTCTTCCAGCTCCGTGTCATCTAACCCACTTAACAAACGTGGACGTATCGCTTCCAGAGGCCGTCTAACAACTTCATTTCCAAAAGTCACGTCTCCAGAAGATCTTCATCTCCAGAAGACATGTATTTTCTATGATTTCTTTTAAACAAATGAGAATTTACAAGATGTGTGACTTTCTAACTCTATCATACATCGGCAACCTCTTTCCATCTAAAAGGGCTAGATGTGACAAATGTTTTCTATTAAGAGGTTGGGGTGGAGTTGAGAGCAGCTTTTTCACATTATATACGCAAGCCTTCCATAATCGACCAGTAAATCTTCCCAGAGGGTGGTGGGCATTTACAAAGGGCCAAACGTGGCCTGTCTTCTACCATTTCTCTCTTCTCTGCCAGACAGCAAAGTCTGGCAGAACGAAGACCAACTGCCCGATGGCCGCTAATCGTTCCACCTGCCGTCGTTCGGGACTTCGCTCACCTCCCAGGCCCGTTAAGGCCTTTGTCCGTTGTCGTCAGGACTAGGTAGGTTTCGCCCAATGGCGACAGAGTGGTCACCCGGGAACCGGATCTGCGCGGCTCTGTGGCCTAAAGAGGCAGCCGAGCCTGCCTGCGTCCTTAGGCCGCCTTCCTGGGCCCTACACGCCCTAATAGCCTCCGCCCGCGGCGTTCGAGCGGCCGCCATGCTTCCCGGCCCGTCACGCCCGCCGCCGCCCAGAGGCGCTGCGTCCCGGCGGCTCTGCCGGGGTTTCGTTGAGGCCCGGCAGGCTTGGGCCGGAAGACCCGGCGGCCGGCCGAGTCCGGGCTGGGAGAGGCCGCCGCCGCCATCAGTCACCGAGGTGGGGTGGGGAAGAGAGGTTCGCTGCGGCTTCAAGGCCTGGGCACAGCCAGTGAGCAGCCGCAGCAGAGGCCTCCGGTATCTGCATGGCACAGGGTAGGCCTGTCCCAGGGCCCCCCAGTTCACCCGCGGGCCCGGGGGCGGAGGGCCTGCAGGGCCCTGGAGGAGCTGGCTGCGTTCTGCGTCTCTCCGCGCTCTCTGCCGACCGGAACTTGCTTTCCAATTTTAAGGCTCTTTGAATTTTCTTTACTCTTGATTTTTTTTCCTTTTTTTCAGTTTTATTTTTCCTTCATATCTTCTTTGAAGAATACAATCTCAGGACTCGTCTTAAAGTTGGTCATTTTGTATTGTATTTTCCTGAAACACAATATGCTATCAATATATTTATGTTTTACTTTATTTTAGGAAGATTTTACAATATGTATTGGAACATATTTTTGGTTTTATTTGTTTGTTCTATTTTCAGGTTAAGAAAAACTTATGATATGTGTATGGAATCTGCTTTCAAATCAATTGTGTTTTCCTTCTTTGCTTCCTTTTATTTTTTTCTTTATTATATGCACTATTTTCTCAAGTGTTTTCTTTATGTACCTCATTCTATTTCAGCAGTATCTATTCTAGTTCTTACTGCTTCTAATTAGTTTTAATTCCTCCAATTACTTTATTATCTTCAAATTTCTTTTCTGCTTTTCCAGCTCAGTTTTCATCTTTTAATGCTTTATTTGCTATAAATTTTTCATATTTGTTTTGATCTAGGTTTTCAGAGAAATTAAATTATTTGGAGATTGTAGATAATAGTTTCAGAAACTATTAAAATTGATTTTAAATTAATTGACATTGAATACTGCATTACCGTATCAGCAGCACAGATACAGATGTCCATCGCTGTAGAATGTCTGTTGACCAGTGCCGCTCTAGAGCACAGGTATTGCTCCGTGCTTTTGTGTGGGATATACTATGCATTTTCTGTGCTCAGCAGCAGTTGCTGTTTTGTTCTTGTGTTCTAACTTCCCTCCCTACCTACCAGAAGCATATCTAGGTTAGGGCCTTGTTTTCAGAATAATAGGACACAGTATCTCTAGATACTAGGTTAGGGCTTTGTTCTTGCAATAGTAAGACAGAGTATCTCTAGATACTAGGTTAGGGCTTTGTTCTTGCAATAGTAAGACAGAGTATCTGTAGATACTAGGTTAGGGCTTTGTTCTCAGAACAACAAGACAGAGTATCTCTAGAAACACTAAGTCAGCCCTCCTCCTGTGCTTTTCCATGCTGCAGATCTAGGCCCCCACAAATATGCACCCCCTTCCTTCCATCTGCAGTCTTGGAAGGACCAATAAAAGATCCTTCTTGGATATCTTAGAACCCAATTAAAAAAAAAAAAGCTACACATTGTTTATTACCTGGGAAATATGCATAGTTTTTTTTTGGTTCTCATCCAATTGGCATAAATGCTACTATATATATCTGCTATTTCTCCTAGGATCTATTTTTGGTAGTAGTCATTTTACTAGTCTTATGCTAAATGCAGCATTCTTTCCCATAGTTTCATCCTCTTTATTTATTTCAGTGATTTGCACCAAATAATGTTTTGCGCTTTTTCCTATTTTGTTTTATTGAGAGATTATTATAAATTCTTAAGTAAGGCAGCCATGTGATGAAGATATTTGTTAGAGTAGATTGGTGTGTATGTTGTGGAAGGGAATAAGGAAGACATGGGAAGTAATTCAGGAAGCTTTAGGAGTTACACAGGTATGAGATAATCAGGGAATGAAGTAGGATGGCTCTAATTTTGAAGTGTTTTTGTACATAATTGTAGGCCATTACATATTTTAAGATTCAAAGATAATTTACTAACCATTCTAAGAAAAATATCGTTGCTAAGGGAAACAGCTTTACGTTCTAGAAACACTATGCAAAACAGGTGCTTCAGGCTTTAGATCTACTTTTCTTAGCTTTAGTCCACACCAGGAGTCTTCTCTAAAGAGGCTGATGTAAACCAGAGAGAAGATCACCTGAGGATACATCACTGAGAAAAATTTAGACACACACACACACACACACACACACGGAACAGCCAATCCATATAAGGAGTTAGATTGTTTTCTTTTTCTCTTTTCATATTGAGCAGACTGATTTATTTTCACAGTTGCCTATACACCAAGCTACTATGATGACCAGGATAAGATTCTCAGCTCAGGCTGAGATACCCCAAACTGTGAGATTCCATTTATACTTTGGGATTTTTTTTGGCCCAAGTAGCGCTCAGCTGGCGATGATTAAAGAATTCACTTACTAATTTGATTTCTCTAGGGCTTTATTTCTTCCTTCATGTAACAAATATTTATTGAGTGCCAACTACATGGCAGGCATTGCTTTAGGTCCTGGGATAGCTCAGGGAACAAGATCTGAATGCATTCGTCTGTGGCAGCTTCCTTTCTTCAAGCCTTTAATCATAACTGTAACAGTTAATGTCTGTGTGTATAACAGAATCAGAAACATTAGCTAGATATTATTCATACATAAGAGAAATTTATTTTATGTAGAATTCCCTTAGTCTTCCCCTTCTGTTCTTCAAATGTTCCTATTAAAAAAAGAAACATTAGTTTTCAGACATCTTTGAAAAGATAATCAGAATCATTTGAATAATATAAAATACCCTTTGCAATAGCTCTAGCCAATGTATTTTTTTTTTGGTCAGCAATTGTGTATTTTGTGCAATTTTACATTCTGGTCTCCTTCCATTTTATCCTTGGTAGAAAAAAAAAAAAAACAAACTACCCTATAAATCATGACAAAGACTACAGAAAGAAATAGCTTGGATTTTTGCCCATCTTGGTAGTGTACTTTTAAACCAAGGAAATGTTCTAAAACCAATATTTAAATAGCACATTTGGCAAATTGTTCTGACCTGAATAAAGCGGATGACATTTTTTGAAGAGGAAGAGAAATGGGAAACAGAGAGAAAGTTCAAGAAGCCATCCCCTGTGAGCTGGCTTTCCTTTGTTGCAAAATAATCCCCTTCAAGGGCCTTCAGCATCCTCAAGCTCTTTCTCCATTACTGGCAATCCTCTTTTCTTCTCTTTGCACTTTGTTTCTGAGTGTATTGCAAAATTGTTACGTTCATTTATTTTTTCTAGGAATCTTTTCAAGGCACTTTCTGACTAGTTATTCTGACTAGTAATAACTAAGTTCTGATTAGTTATTACAAGTTATTGAGGTAACTTTTCTGCAATGTCCAGCCATATCATCTGTGTAAAGTCACTGGTGTAGCTTTCCCTTTCTCACTGATGCTGACCCTCTCCTGCTCTTGGTTGGAATGCAGAGATACACCCTTTGATATTCTGACCCTTCCCATGCTCCCCACTCACTCCCCTTAGTGCCCTCCCCACTTCCCTCTACCTCACTGTTACTCCATAGCTTTTTTCCTACTATCTAGGCAAATGATAGCGTCACCCTTGCTGACTGCCTCCACAAACCTCTTGCCTATCTTATCTTTCAACTCTTTAAATGTTTCTTATGTAAGTATTGGATGCCATTAAATCAACTAAAAGAGCAAGGGGCAAATAATGAGAAAACAACACAATTGGAAACTTGGTCAGTTTATTTGAACTCATCTGGTATAAACTTTCCATTTACATTGGGAAAATGATTGCATGTGAGCTCTAGAGTTGTGGACAGAAAAACGTGTATCAGATGTACCACCTTAATAACAGCTACTTGTATCATGTTCTTACCATTAGAGAGGCATGGCACAATTCACTTCAAAAATAACATCTACTTTATTCCTCACAACAGCTCTATCAGAAAAATGAGAAAATGGAAAGATAAAGAAGCTAATAATTTACTCAAGGTCAAACTGCCAGGAAGTGACCAAACTGCCTTGGATTCAGATCCAAATCTGCTGGACTTCCCCACTTATTATCACAGCTGAGCCACACCACCTTCCCAAGTTCATCCAATGCTCTCTCTACTCTGTCAAACTGGCTTCCCTGAAATCATTTGTATTTCTTATCCACAGTCGGATAAATTATAGAAACCATAGCCAGGTGTGTAAGTGGAAAGATTGACTAATAGACATCTGATAGAGCAAACAGCCTAAGTCTGCAATGTCTCTCTCAGGTCTGGCTTTACTCACGTGTATGAGATAGTGGTAATCATCAATGTTCCCCAGTATCGGTACCTAATATGTAAAAGGGTTATCATGTTGGGCCATGCGTTTGGGCTTCATGATTCATAGGCGGTGAACAGAACTTCAACTCTCAGTTGCAGTCCCAACCCATTTGTCATGATGCTGAGTTACACAGAACTAGGACACATGTAAAATAAATACCTCTTTTTGTTCCAAGCCTTGATGAGCATTTTTCTTGATGCATTTGGATTCCTCCAGTAAGAAAATGACAATGTAAAGCCATTCTTTACATTCGATGTTGGATGTTGTGAGTTTGAACAAAGGGCTGTGAGACTGCTGTGATGTGAAAGCTGGCAAAGTTCACAGAACAAAGGCGGGCAAAGCCCCCTTAAAATCACAGCATTCCACTTCATTTTACTTTGTGTTGTTATGTTGAAAACTGAATTTGCTAGTTTGCAAGTAGACATAATGGCCACTAGAGCTTGGTCAACTGATTAGTTAGTGTGTTTTAAAGCAAGAGATTGGAAAAAACAAAGAACAGATTTAAACTCATATAAAATCAGCTATGTACTGAAAAGAATTCTTACTTTCAGAGTCATATAAAAAAGTTTATTTTCATGACAAAAAGTGATAATTCATAAAATATAATTCCATTGCTTTGATTGGAATATTATTTTTTGCATTCTTGTTACCAGTTGTAGGGATGACAACATCCTTAAAAATAGCGCTAACACGCCAATATATATTCAACAACCCAATATCTATTTGTTTGGCTTATATAAGTGTTTTGAACTCTTATGCTGAGGATTGGAAAAGATTGAGAGTTAAAAATATAAATGTCTCTCTCTATGGGCAAGCACAGTTGTTTCTAAGAATCCTGGGATTCTCCATGCTGCCATCTTATCAGGAACATCAAGCAGCATCAAAGCTCATAGCCAAGGGGTTATCTGAGAATTTGACACACAAAGTAATAGAAAATTCATGACTTCAATCTAGTTTTCTTTGAGAGCATGAGGTGATTTTTCAGGATACTGTGTTCTTTCTTATAAAGCCAAGATAATCTATTAAATCTATTCCA